AATAACTATACTTCACTTAAACAAATAAAACTTTCAAATCCACATTTCCATAACAAATCTTTCATAGCTACAACCATTATTATTATTATTATTAAAAAACAACTATAATTTTTTAGTATGGTGATAATAAACAAAAAAATTATCAAGAGTATCATAAATTTTTAAAGAGCAAAGAGTAAGAAAATAAAGTTTTAGAAATTGGAATTATATATTTATAAAAAAACAAAAAGAAAAAACAAGAGCTCACACATCATAAATAAATATCAACCATTTCAATCACAACAACACGAAGTAATCAAAAAAAATAGTTTGGGGAATGGAAAAATAATTATAGAAATTGAAGACCCAAAAATATGAAATTAAACAAACAAAAGCAAGTTATTAAATCTACAGTGCCCGGAATAAATATGTATACCCCATACTTTATTAGGATGGAAATGAAAACTATTGAATAAATAGTTCATATTTAAATTTTAAAAAAGAACCATTTAAATAAATCATAGTACAAGATATTGGTTTATTTGTTAAAAATTAAAAATATATTTTTTCAATTTTATTTGTATTTTTTTATCAATTATTTGATTATTATTAATTAATATTTGGTATATCCTGCACGTTCTTTAAATATTGCATGTAAGATGGTATTAGGTTAACTTGTATATTATTCTCTTCTAAATATTGTTTCACTATCTTTGCTGTATGCGAACTACGGTTGTCTCGACAAAAAAAAATGAGAAATGAAAATTTTTTTTTTTTATATATATATAAAAAAAAGTGAATAAATTTTTATTTCTTAGTTTTTTTAAAAAAATTCACCTTAAAACCCCCTTTGTTCTTTAAAATATAAATTTGGTTTTAAAAATTCATTATTATTATTTACTTATTATCAATAATAATTATATATATAGATAAAATTATAACACAAAATCGCACAGAGAAAAAAAATATAAAAAAAATTTTAAATTATTTTTTTTTTAATTTTTTTTCAAATTTTTTTTCAAAACAGATATCTAAAATAAAAATTAATTATTTTTATGGTAATAATAAAAACATTTAACAAAAACTTTAAAAAAAAAAATCTGGCCCATTTATTTTTGAATCGCTGTGGTAAAAAAAAAAAGTGTTGTGATGTGATTTTATATAAAAATCCAAAAATAGTTTTTTAGAAAAACGAATTTTATAAAACCCAAAAAAAAACTAAAAAATTTTGTTTTTGTGTTTTTTAAAAAAAAAAATAATTGATTTTACTCGTTCACAACATATCACGAAAAAATACGAGTGTTTTTTTTTTTAATTTTTTTTTACAAGATTTTAATTTGAAAGAAGCACACCGCATATAAAATTAAAATCAGGCACAATAAAAAAAAAATATAAAATAAATAATTTTTTTTTATAAACCTAAAATAAAAAAAAAAATCAAACACATAATGAAACAAATAAATATTAATTTTGTTTTGATAATATTGGTTTTAGTTTTTGTTAATAGTAACAATTTTGTAGTATCTCAAGCACCAAGATGTAAAACAACAGAAAATGTGTATCAAGGAGAAGCAAGAAATAAATTTAATGGTATGACGTCCACTAAGGATGTAGATTGGTGGTTTTTACAACAACTTTCAGGTGATAATGGTGGTGCAATTTACACAGACAGCAGTTTATCTGGTGAAAAAATTATATCCGAAATCAACAACTATTATACCAAAAATAGTGATAAAATTCCAAATCCAGTAACTATAACATATGAACAAATATTAAATAATAATAATTACAATAGTATTGCATATAATAATGAACCAAGACATAAAGTAAAAAAAGTTAATGGTGTTGTATATACTGATCCTACAACTCGTGGTGATCCAGGTACAGGTGCACATGCCAAGGGTTTTTTTATTTGGAACAATCAAGGTAAATATAGTCATTTAATAAATATTATTATAATATTTAAAATATTAATTATTAATTTTTTATCTTCATTTTTTAAAAAAAAAAAAAAAAAAAAAAAAAAAAAAAAATTTTATTAATTATAGGAGGTATTCATGTAATTCAAAGTTATCCTCAGTCACCTGAAAAAGATGGGGCTGATGAATTCTTTGAAAAAGGAACTGGGTTTAATTTGGGTCAACATTCAGTTTGTATTAACTTATCACCAGATGAATTAGATATTATTCCAAAGCTTTTAATTTATGGTGATTTTATTATTAATGCAATTAATGGTATAAACATTAGAGATATAACCCACAAGCTATCTGGTATAACCAAGTTTAATGACATTAGAACTAGAGTTGGCTCATTAATCGATACCAGTGCTTTTACAAAAAATGAAATCGCTTCATTTAAAAAATTAAAGAAAACATTTGATATTTTTGATCAAAACATTTTCGATACGATTATCTTTGATCCAAATACAAATCATTGGTCAAAAAATACAATAGAATTATCAAAATGGTCCACAATTGTAAGTTTTAAATTAATTTATATTATTTAATAACACTGGTTTGTATTAAAATTCTAATTCTTAATTTTATTATTAATAGGCAAGCCTGGTCAGTAACAATGATTTTTCATCATTTGATTTCCAAAGAAAGAATGTTAAAGACTGTATACATTACAATAAGGTAATGGATCAATCCAATGGTGATGGTCAATACTTTGTTCAAACCTCAAACAATAATATTCATAAAAAAAAGGCATCATACCCATTATCAAAAAGAGGATTTAATATGATATGGGATTATATTGCAGATTACTATTACAACAACCATCAAAAAACAGGTAAATGGCTTATTAACACAATGCAAAGGGGTGGTAGTAAAAACGGTGATAAAATGGCCAAACCATCAGATAAAATGAATATTGTCAGTAGAACTGATGCACCATGGTCTGTTAGTGAATCTACAACAGATGGTGCTCAACATTCAAAGATATCATATTTAGTCGATAGCACTGGTAATCTATTTTGTAAGTAAGAATATTCTTAATTTTAAACTGAGTTTGTATATATCAAAAAATATACTAATTAATTTAAAATTTATATTAAAAGGTATTGGTGATCTAAATTGGCAAGGTAAACAAGTAAGTTGTTCATAAAAAATAATTACAAGCATATTATATTTATACAATTTTATATATTAACTGTTTTATTTTATTTATTAGGAATCAAGGGGTGGTTGTGCATTTTGTTCAAAAAAATTAGATTATCTAGCTGAATACTATGAAAGTCGTGTCACTGTTATTGCAGACCCTCCAACAACCCCAAGGTATGATAAGTTTGGACCAGAAGTTATACCTTTTGGTACAGCAGGTTTTAAAATTGATTTCACAAATTATTATACTGATTTAGAAAACAAGGGGTTTTATAGTGCTGCAAATAGACCAGTAATGGAAATTAAAAAATTAAATCAACAAAATAATCAATATGAATCTTTCAATCCCAAAGTAATAATAGATACTGAAGATACAAAACCATCTGTAGATTATGATACGGATGGCTCTTTTACAGATGATATTACCAATCTCATCAAGAATTTCAATGGTTTATTAAGTGAAATCTATATCCCAATAAAATTAAATAGAATACAAGCTGCAAATCCAACCTTCGAAATTGACCAAAAAATCGGTCTATTTGTATCTCCAATCTTCAAAGATGAAATTATTTTTTGTGATTATAATGACCCTCATTGCAATTATAATCACGATAACCATTTATTAATAAAAGATTTAGTTTTTAGATTCGAAATGCAAGATTATGAAACTATAGTTCCAAGACAATCAGAAACCAATGGCGAAACCAGAGGTCGTAAAATGAATGTAATTTTCAACCCCACCATTTCTACTACAGCACCACCCAGCATTATCGATAAAACAATTGAACTAGTCAAATTAGAAAAGGACATTAAAGAAATATACGAACATTTTGGAATTGTAAGACAAACACCAATTAGATTTATTAATATTGATTTAACTGACAAAAATAACCAACGTATTTTAATTGGAGATTCCCAAATGTGTGGAGATGTTGATATTATTTACTATAATGAAAATTGCTATGATTTTTTGGTGTACTGCCTCTCTGAAAAGTATGCTGTAATCAACAACGGTATATATAATAGTAGAGTAGATGGTTTTTCTGCTCCAACTGATACCATAATGGTAAGTAATTAACATATGTATAAAAGATATAATATTAAATATACAATTAAAATTTATATATTAAACTAATTTTAAACTTTTTTTTCTTCTCTTTTCTTTTGCCAAAAATAGGGTGCTATCGTATGGCCTAATGGAACTCCAAGTACATGTTTTATTCCAGATGAACCAGATATGGTTAGTCAATCACAAACAATGAACGATGATGATTAATCAATAAAATTTAAACTTTAAGAAAGAGCAATTTTTTTTTTTGTTTTTATCAATACTACAGCTTTTTATAATTTTTTTCTTAAAAATTTCAATTTTTATAATTTTTTTTTTATTTTTTATTTTTTATTTTTTATTTTTTATTTTTTATTTTTTATTTTTTATTTTTTTATAAAAATTTGTATCAATGCAAACGCAGAGATAATAGATAACAGTCGTCTTTATTTTTATTTTTTTCAATGGAAAACAAAAGGAAACTTAATAATAATAATGATAATAATAGTGAATTCAAAAAATTAAAAAAAGATTTAAATAACAATTTAGATGATAAACATGATTTTTTAAATAAAACATATAACGATTTGAGAGCAGTTGATTTAAAAGAATATGCAAGTAAACTAGGTATTGCATGTGGGGTGAATAAAAGAGATATTTATGATAAAATAAAAGAATTTCATAGAGTTGCAACAAAGATTATCAAATGAAAATCAAGAAAAAGAATCGATCAATTCATTCAATAAAGAAAGAGCACAATTAACAATTAAAGATATCGAACCACATGAACATATATTTTGGGAAATATTTAGAAACAAAGCAATTTACAAAGAAATATTTTCAAATTTTAAACCTGATCAAATAACAAGTTATGAAACTTTATTTAATGTATTAGATATACTTGAAAGATATTCAAATGGAGAAGAAATTTTAAAAGATAAAGTAAAGTCTTCTCAATATTTAAATTTTGAAATTAATAATGGAGGTTATGAATCTATTTGTAGGAGAATCATCGAGGAAACACCAGAGAATACAGCATTCTATGAACAGTTATTTTCAAAATATTCAAAATCAATTAGTAGAGATGGTTTTGCCAGAGATGCAATAAAAGAATTAAATATTATGGTATTGAAGATATTGAAGCTAGATAGTGAAATGTTTAAAAGGTTACCAAACAGATCCCCATTTTTAATAAAAAATTATAAAGGTATCAAAATGATCAATTATCTCAAATCTATTGGCATTAAAAATTTTTGTATAGAATTTAAATCGTTTAATTGTTTTCAAAATCTTAAAAATTTAAAACAACTCATCAAAACCATCGAATGTTTACCATCATTTCATAGAAGAATAACCCCAATTCATATAGAGGAAATAAGAAAATTAGAATCAACACCATTTACACCAGAGCAATTAAAATCAAATGTAATCCAACTTTTATTGAAATACTCTGTATTAATCAATAATAATAATAATAATAATAATAATAATAATAATAATAATAATAATAATAATAATAATAATAATAATAATAATAATAATAATAATAATAATATTGTAGACAGCGAAGAAAACTATAAAATCAAACCAATAATATTAAAATATATTGATATTCTATACCAAGTAATAGGCTTAGAAAGAAATCCATTACCATTAGATTATTATTTTTTATTTAAAAAAGAAGATTCAATACTTTATAAATTTAACATAATTAAATTATCAATTGTTCCAGAATTCAAAGACTTATATAAATATTGCATCTATAAAAATTTCAGTTTTAATATCTTTTCACATTCGATCGAAATTCTTCTAAACCTAAGACACAATAAAGCACCAATTGATAAACTATTAAAACACATTGCATTAAGTGGTAATTTAGAATTGATAGAATTTATAATTAATAAAAAAGAACTGGGATTTTTTGCAAATGAGGTGAAACCAACAAATCTATCATTGGGTATTATCGAAGGCATTCAATCAACTGAAGTACTAGACTACTTTTTTAAAAACCACCCAAACTGTATTTTATTTAAAGATGACAATTCTCTATGCTTCAGATTATTAAATATTACAATTCTTTGTCACTATGAAAAGTTAATGGCCAAACTCCGTAGGACTTTTTTAATTGACAATAATTATATTTATAATCAAACTCAAGATCAATCTGGTGTATCAATTTTAGATGTACTTTATAATGCAATTAATAATCAATTGGTTTACAATTTTGATAATTGTCAGTACTTGGATTTTAGGGGTAATATATTTATTTCACAACTTCAATCAGAAATAGCAATAAAATTAGCAAAGTCAAATAAATTTAGACATATAAGGTTCAACGACATAGAATGTGCATTTAAAAATAATTATTTTTTCTCTTGGTTATTTGGACATGCCACAGAGCCTTTGCCAAAAATAGAAAGGTATAGATCAACAGTTTGTTTTTATATCAATCCTAATAAACAAAAACAACAACAACAACAAAACATTCAAGTTTCAATATCTACAAAGCTTTACTATATTTTACTATGTAAATTAGGTAGAACCGATATATTATCAGACTTAGAATCATTCAGAGATGTTCTAGATTTCAAATTTGGATTATCAGCGGTTTTATTAGATAACTCATTAAAATATATTCGAAATGATATATCAGTTTTATTCCTTTTCCTAGAGAGAATAATTCGTAATGGGGATTTACCATCTCTCAAATACATTTCATTAAAACATAACCATTTGTTTGCCAAAAAATCAAAATCAAATCCCAATCCTATTGTCAGTACTTTTTTTTTAAAAAAACTCACATTTCAATCAATCAAAACAGATAATGCCGATGTTACAGAGCTACTATTAAACTTTGTAAAAATTACGAAAGGTGAATGCAGGTTAGCAAAAGGAGATATATGTTCTGTTGTATATGAACATCTAAATAATAAATTCAAATAAAAAAAATTAAAAAATAAAAAAAACTAAAGATTATGAATTTTACCATAATTCAAAAAAAAAAAACAGTTTTTTCACTAATTTCATTTCGATTTTTTCATTATAATAAAGATTTTTAAAAAAAAAAAAAACATTATTTTTATGAATATATTTTTATAAAAAATATTTAAAGAAAAAAATTATAAATTTAAATAAATGTTCGGTTTTATTTTTAGAAAAAAAAATTATAAAAATTAAAAAAAATTAATTTTGAATTTTTTTTTTTTGGATTTATCAACATTTATTGTGCTATAATAATAATAATTATAATAATAATAATTGCAACTAATAATAATAGTAATGATAAGTTTTTTTTTTTCCAAAATGGAAAAACAATATATTAAGTGAAATACAAAGACGCATCAGTTAAGGTAAATAATTACACATGCTATTTCTAAAATTGTTTAATATACAATGTTATACTAATTAAAAATAATATACAATTACTAAATTACTACACATAGACGTATCACCAATAAATATTTACAAAGAAAATAAATGATTATTCAATGGAATTTATAAAAGTTTTGCATTACCTTTTGCATATCAGTTAAGAGTTGCTGAATCAAAAAGTAAGTTTATACAAATATTTAAATGATTCCATACCTATTTATTTACAAAATAATATATTAATTAATTTTTCATTTTATTTTTAGATATTGATTTTATTGGACCATTATTTTCAGATTTAAAGATAGTAAAATCACAAAATGAAAATAAAATATTGAATGCATTAGAAATTACAGATAGTTCAAATGGTTTTAAACAATGATATTTTTTGTTTGTGGTATAATTGATATTATAGAAAGAAACATTACAATAGATACATCCAACATTCCCAACCGCAGCTGCAACCACAATAAACCAATTCTACTTTAATAGAATTAAATTATGGAAATAATAAGAAATTAAAAGTAAGTGGTAATAACATTTCGATAAATTGATTATTGTTTTAAAAATATGTATTAACACTTTAATTATTAATTATAAAACAGGTAAATGAATAGCAATTTAAATAATAATAGTTTCAGTTTAGCCCGAAGCGCAAGTTGTAGTAGTATAAGCAGTTGTAATAGTAATGAGCAATGGGAGTAGCTGTAGTAGCGGTTGCAACAATAAAAACAGTAATAGCTTTTTAATTAATAATGGTAATATAACACTTCCACCACCATCATCATATAGAAATTTAATTAAAGAGGAATTAAAATCACCAAATTATATACTACCACATTTAAAAACATTAAATATCGATAATATTCAAAGGGGCATTATATAGGTTAAATTCAAACAGAGCAGATTACCCAAAGATTACCTATGAAGTTATAAAGAAATGTCTCGAGTATTCAAATGTTGAAGATTTAGAAAAACTATTTAGAGCAATCAGTACATATTCTACAGGTATACCATTCGATAGATTCCCAACCATTTTTATGTGGAGAAAAGGATGTATAGTTTAAAAACTATTATTTTCACCCAGACTTTAATTTTCTCAAACAAAACATCAAAAGAGATTACAGAACAAATGGGTGAAGATTCATGGAGTGCACTTACATGAAAATACAGATTATCATTTTAGCTCTTTCATTTCGGCAATTTAAAAAATCGATCGTGTTAGCCAGTGTATTCTGAAATTTGAACTTTGAATCTTTTGATTCTTTTGCCACATTGTTCTATTCTATCCCATCCCAAATTTGATCGGTTATATTTCAACTGACGAAGAAGCAACTCAGAGTAAATTTCTTACACTGCATTCATTTTGGTACAATTTCATATTGAGTATAATGTGGGGATACAACACATTTTCTTTATTTTCAATTGATTTCTGTTAATAGGTCTTTTATTTATTCCTTCCCATTGATTATATTTATTAAAATTAAAATTTTTTTATATATTTATTATTTAAAATTTTTAAATTTATTAATGTATTTATTATTAATTAGTATTTTTATAATATAATACGTATTAATAATTTTTGATAAATAAATAAAATCAAGTATTTATTAATATTATTTTTTATTTATACATTTCCCTTTATATAACTTCATTTAAATGATTTTTATATTAATAAAAAATTTTTATATATAATTGTGATTCTTATTTTCCATCTGGGAATTTAAAATATTTTAAATTTAATTATATATTTTATTATTTTTCTATTTTATTATTATTAAATTTAAAATTGCGCTTGATGTTTAAATATCAAAAAAAAAATTTATAAATCCAGACAAAAAAAAAAATTTTAAAATTTTATTTTTTTTTTAATTTAAATTTTTAATTTATTTCAATTTAAAAATTTTGAAATTTCCAAATTTTTTTTCATTCATATATTATAGCTTTAAAATTATATTATATTTTTTAAGTATATAGAAATAAATAAATAATTAATAATAATAATTCTTATCTCAAAAATCAAATTTCAAAATGGTACAAATTTTTAGTTTATTTTCACCATTAATTCCATTTTTGAAATTTTCTAATTATAATAAAAATAATAACAATAACAATAACAATAACAATAATTATAATAATAATAATAATAATAATGAAAATAATAATAATATTAATAATAATAAAAATCAAAAAAACAAAGATAATAACAATATCAATGATAATAATAACAATAATAATAATAATAATAAAATAAATATCAATTATAATAATAATAATAATAATAATAATTATAATAATAATAATAATAATAATAATAATAATATCAATAATAATAATAATTTTGATCAAAAAAACAATGATAATAATAATATCAATAATAATAATATCAATGCAAAAAAAATATCTACAATCACTACAACTACCACAACCACCACAACTACCACTACCACTACAACTTTTTGCAAAAATAACAATTACTCAGAATCAACCTTGATATCAGAAAATCAACCAATTTCCGTTGCAAAATCAAATTTAAAAAGGAAATTATCTGATATATATGATTCAGAAAAAGATCAAAGAGATAAAAAAAAGTTAAAAATTGATTCTAATAACCAAATTGATATTCCACCAACCAGTGCAACAGAAGTTAATGTAGCCCAAAAAGAAATAAATGAAAATACTCAAGAAAATATTAATAATAGAAACAATGACGAAATTTTTTTAATTAATTTCGAATCTGTAAAAAATGACGTTATCCAACAATTAAAGTCTGAAAGTCACAGAGAAATAATTTTTGCTACAAATTTATTAGACCATTATATCTCAGATGATGGTTTATTAAAAAAATTGTCCGGTTGTCAAAAGGATAGAATTTTATTCATATTATTAGAATTTATTTTTGAAGAAAAAGGAAAAAAAAGTTGTACAACAGACCTTGCCAAAAAAAAAGCTTGCTCATTAGTTTCAAAAATAATAATCAAAGAATGGTTCGATGAAGAATCATTAGAAAGCATTGAAAAGTGGATAGTCTCACTTCAAAATATTTTATCAGACCCAAACTCTCCAATATATAAAATAGAATGGGTTATGAAAATTTTTGGCCAGTTTGATAGAATTAAAAATGAAAATGGTTTTAATTCATTAAATAGTAAAAAACAAATTGTAATCGATAAAATTTTTAATGTTTCAATAGAACTTCTTAAAAATCTTATTGATTCAAAAAAAAATATAAATGGCCCACAAAAATCATCATCTCTTTTAAATGAAACTATTGAAACAATTTATTCATTATTTGGTTTGGTTAGTGGTTCAATTCGTTCAGAAAATTTACAAGTGGTTTTAGATCTCTTTGACAGAGTAAATTCTCCAAAATCTTTTGAAGTAAAAAAGTTTTTGGTTAATTCAATCCCATTTTTTGAATTAAATGAATTGATAATGGTATTGGAGCACTTCAATTCAAGCCATAAAAAGTTAATTGCAAGTGGTAACTCTAACGGCCCAATTGATGCTCAATCTATTCAATTATTTTTTTCAAACATATTTGTAGTTGTAGAAAGAATTGAAAGTGGTGATTATAATAAGGAAAAAATGGATATTATCTTAAAACTAATTAAAGAATCCATCAAGTTCTCTGGAATTTTATGTTACGAGAATACATTTAGTTTTTTTGAAAAGATGTACGCCGATGTTTTAAAAATTGTAAACCAAAAAGAAAGATTACATAAACTCAATTCAATCAAATGGTTTTTATGGCGTCTCAAAAAAACAAACCCAAATTTTAGATTAGATCACTTTATTTCCATATTAGAACAAACAATTTAAAAATATTCAATACAATAGTTTATTTCTTAAAGTTTCTAATCAAAAATAGGGGTTTTTCCATCAAACAATCAACTAAAAGTCATCACAATCATCAAGATATCCAACAATAATCACACTTTTATTTAAATCTGACAATCATTTAATTCAATCACCACCACATCAGTAATCCAACAGTATAACGACATTTGACCACCATTTCATATTTTTTAACTCAATTATAATAATTAAATTAACCAAGTACAATCAGTAAAATAGTATTTTTAGTTCAATTTAATTATTATCAATTCAGAGTTCTTTTTTATAGTGTATTAAATAAAGATTAAATATTTATTACTTTTTTTAACTTTTAATTTATTATCTATTATTATTTTTTTTATTATAATTTTATTTGGAAATATTTTATTTAATTTTTTGATCATTGTACTTTGTTGTTTTATTAATATATTATTTAAGACTTGTCGTGATGTTATTGGGTTCAATTTTGGTTTCGTTGTTCATAATAGGTTGATTCATCTTCTCTTTTGATACACCCATTTGAAAATTGATTCTTATTCCATTTGATCTTCAAAATTCAACTCTTTAACCTTCGAATATATGATACTTTATTTGATAAGTCTGATTATAAGTTTGCATTTATAAAGTAGAAAGAATAGTGAGAGATACCTGTTGAAGTATGAAGTGTAATACTATATGAGAAGAAAGCAGTACCTATTGATTGTTATTGCTATTATTTTTGAGATTATTATTATTATTGAGCAATAGTTCGTGGTTGGATTGGTATTTATTATTACTTGTAAAAAGTATAAAATCTCTTTTAATAGGTTCGCTGTGCATTTGATAAACATTGGCTAAATCTTAATATAAATGATTAAAATCCTTTCATTCGTGATATCGACAGCAAATCCTGTTGGGGGTACTGAATGGTTTTAATTGGTACACCTGTCTTTTGAATATTAATAAAAGTTAATTTAATTTATGTTTGTGAATCTGCGTCTATTTTCTGTATTTCTTCAACGATGCCAAATTCTATATGTGTGTGGGTTTGTTGTTGCTGTGTTTTATAATATTGATTTTCTAATTTGTTCTATAAAGGTTTTAAACATATTTCGGTTATTTTTAAATTATTATTTTTAGTTTGATGTAATATTTTACATTATTAAAATTATTTGTGTGTGTGTGTTGTGTGTTGAATAAAATAAAAATAAAAATAAAAATAAAAATAAAATAAAAAAATTGGGAAAATTTAAAAAAATTTTATAAAATTATTTGAATTTTAAAAATAATTTGTGTTTTAAAAAATCTTATAAAAAGATGCCCATAATTTTACAACACATTTTTACATTTATATATCAATTTTTTTTATTCAAAAAAATATTTTAAATAAATTTTTTTTATAAAATAAAAAAAAATTAATCATTTTTTGTATAAAATAATAAATAAATATAATATTAAATAAATTAAAGAAAAAATAAATAGTAAACATTATAATAATTAATTATTTATCTATATCAAAGTATACCTAATCAATGGCCCATAAGGGAGCATGGGTGTGACATTCACATAGTGTTTGGCATCGTGGTAATCCTCCGTTTTTTAAACCATAATTCCTTAATATAATGGATATATGCCTGGTGGGCTATATCAAATATTTATTTTATTGAATGTGGACCTTCTTTTAAAAAACTCCGCCCCCCCCATGGCATAGATTTTAATTAAGCTCGCTTACTGTTATTTGTTTTTTTTTTATTTTATTATGAATATGTTTAAAATAAAAAAAACAAATAACATTAAGCGAGCTTAATTAAAATCTATGTAATTTTATTTTTATATTTTTTAATAAAAATGTATTTTTTTTATTTTCAATATACTTTTTCTTAAAATTAATGCCTTTTTTCCTTAGAAATAATAATTAAAAAAAAAAAAAGATTATAGGCAATTAAAATTCGCAAAGAATTAGATTCAAGCAAATTCTTTAAAGTTATTCCAAATTTCGCTTATCACTTAAATAAATTGTTTAACAGAGAAGTTTAATTCAACTCACAAGTATCAATATCTTATTGTAAAGAAGGAAATACAAATGATACACTACAATTAATTGGTATTTCTTTATTCTCATATATTATTATATTTCATCCTTCTACTGGCCATCTCTCACCATTCTTTCTACTTTTTTAATGCAAACTTATAATCAGACTTACCAAGTACTAGAACTGTTCAAGAATAGAGGTTATTTATTCATCATCAAAAACAGGATTAAGCAATCAATCAAATAGTTCAAAAAAACAGTCAAGTATATTTAAATATCGAATTAAATAAACTTAATAATACTGTAGTAATCCTTTATATATTAATATAAAAATGGATTTTGAATCAATCATACAAATTCAAAAGATTCAATCCCAACAAATATAAAAAAGAAAATTGTAAAAATAAACATATTATTTATAAAAAAAAAAATTTATTTTATTTTATTTAAAAATTTATAGATGTTTCAGTATCCTAATACTGAAAATATTAAAATCATTTGATGTATTTCTTTCATCAAATAGATTGAACTATGATATTATCTATTACCAATATATAATATGTTTGTTTCTATTATTATTATTATTTTTAATATTGTTTTATTCTATTATTATTTAATTTTATTTTTATACACACTTAAAATAATTTTATTTTTTTTCATTTTTAGTGATAATATATTTTTTTTATATACTAAAAAATTCATTCATTTTTTATGAAAGAAAACCGATAAACATGAATGAATTTGTTTAGTATGAATGAATTTTTAGTATGGGTGAAATATTTTTATATGGACAATTTTGCAAGTAGCTCATTAACTTCAGAATTATCTTTATCTCTTAAGTTAAACCTTTCACTTTGTGAAACATAAAAATCATTTAAAGTATTCAAAGATATATTATCATTAGAATAATCGTAATCTTCAATATATGAAGTATAAGATTTTTTAAAACACACATTACCGCCATATTTATTTTTAAAATTCAAATAATTTTTTTTAAATTTTTCCCAAGTTTTTTATTTTATTTTTATTTTTATATTTTTCAACACAACAAACACACCCACACAAATAATTTTAATAATGTAAAATATATTACACCAAAAATAATAATTTTAAAATAACTGAAATATGTTTAAACCTTTTAAGAACAATTTAGAATCAATACATTATTTTAAATCAACAAAAACAACAACAATAATAACA